GCAGTAACATGTGCTCCAGTATTATGAAGCAAAGTATTCTCCATCGCAGTTGCATTAGTGTCCGTCTGCACCAGCACACCTGGCAGTTTCGAAATACCTTAATACTACTCAACAATGAGCAATGCATCCCTTCTACAATGAGTCCCTTCACCCCCGCCACCCCCACCCATGTCTCCGTGATTCTGGCACTCTTCTCCCCTGTGTGTCCACCCTTGTGCTGGAAACCCAGGTAGCACTTAGTCCCTAAATTTGTGAATGTCATTGAACAGCCTGTAGAAGGGAAACGCAGCCTCATTTGCATGTGGGCAGTTGTAGTTGCATTTGCAGGACTGGATCATCATGACATTCTTGGAGAACATCTCCCCATCTTCGCAGCGGAACCGCATCTTCACAGTCCTGGTCTGCTGGGGTGTGCAGCAGCGGCCGTCCACACAGGAACCACAGTACTTGGGCCGGTATTTCTTCACACTTGAACATCCAGCGTAAGTAAACGTGACTGGTTCGGGGGATTTCTTGGTCTTGCTGCATTTCTTGCCCTTCTGTAAGAAAGAGGAGAGAAGGAAAGTTAGGGGCAATGTTTCTCTTCCTTGGAAGAGAGGTTCACACCTCACCCAGCTGCCCAGGAACAGTCTGCCTGCCACCACAAGAACTTACTTTCAGGATGCTGTACATCGGCTGTCCACAAGGCCGCACTTCACAAATCCGGGTTTCTTTCACCAGGCGGCATTCAGGGTTGTCATTGGTAACTCGCGTGGAAATACCAGTTCCACAGGTCTTCGAGCACTGGGACCATGAAGTTGTTTGAACGATACATTTCTGGCCATGTAAAGAAGGGTTGTATAGGATGCGAGGTTCCGTTCCAAAGACTAAAGAGATAAACAAGAGGAAAGATTTCTCAGAGGCATACTGACACAAACAGATTCAAGTACTCATTTTATAAAGTTTCAAACTAGAAACATATTTCAGTACCATGTCTTAGGGGCTCAATCTTAACTTACCAGGGAGCTGCTTCAGGGAGCCACCTTTTCCAAATGCAATTAATTCATTGTTTCTCGTTAACTCCACCTCTGAGGCATCAAATGTGGGCCCCTTGCCCAGGAGGTCATCCCTGTCCTCCATGGGGTCCTTGGCGCCATCCTCGTCACAGACCCACTCCTCACAGCACTGCCCGGTAACTTTGATGAGCCGGGGGTTGGGACAGCCCAAGTTGGGGAGAGAGAGTTCTTGGGGGCACAGAGGAATGCAGCCCACGGCACCATCAATACATGTGCACTGATGTTTACAGTTGGGCTGGAAACTTTCTCCATTCTGGTAGATTCTGGAGTTATATTCACAGGGTCTGCCTTCTGACTGAGCTGCAAAGAGCACCAAAAGAGAAAGGGAGAAGAGGATAAAGTTAAGATTCCAAATCATGGCCTGAAACGCATACATATTTTCTGCTGTTAAATTCAATTTATGGTAAAGTTCCCTACAATTCCCCGGAGACTCCAGACCAGAACAATAAGTTAGTCAGGAATCACTTTTCCGTATGCGCTTTTCGTTGGGCCCAGACACACTGAATTGCATTCCAGACTGCTGAAATCATGTGCCTTTCTGCCAAGCTACCAACAACAAAGCATCACCATACATGGTCTCAAAATTACTAAACTTCTGGACTACGGGGACTATTATTTTTTTAAAGGGGCCAAACCACAAGCATCTTACCTCTGCAGATCCCCTTCAGAGCGGTGGAGCTGGCGCCGAAATTGCATTCCAGCCCCTTGGTGTGGTCGCAGGGCTGCGTTTTGCTGCAGTCCTCGTTGAGCTGCTTGGCGCAGACCTTACAGCAGCCGCAGCCGTCCCGGACCAGCCCGACTCCCGGGGCGCACTTGGGCGCCTCCAGGGGGCAGTGGCAGGCGGCGGGGCAGGTGGAAAGCGCCTGGAGGGGGGAGAAGACTCGTGTGAGACTCGGCGCCGGGCGCAGGAGGCGCTCCCTGGGAAGGGACGGGGGTCTCTGACCCTGTCGGCAGAGGGGACTCTGATTCCGTCCTGCCGGACCACCTCGGGCAGGGCTGCGTCCGCCAGGAGGCCCCAGACACATCTTTAGGGGGTACTCAAAGGGCTACCTCGAAACGCCCCCGATCTCTTTAGTTTTTTTCTGCCGTGGGCAATCTGGCGAAAGGGGAAGGGATTGGGAGAGCGGACGCAGAAGCCGTGGCAAAACTCACCAGCGTGGCTAAGTGGAGCAGGGTGACGGCGACTGCGAGGGTCCTGGCCGTGCGGGAGCTCATTGTGGCGCGCAGGAGGAGTCGGGCGAGCGCGGAAGCAAAGACGCCAACACACCGGTACGCAGCGGACAGGCCCGGCGAGGCTGGGTCGGGACGGCGGGTTCAGTGGGCCGGGTGGCAGGGAGGCGAGGGCCGGAGCGGCGAGAGGGCTGCGGGAGTCCTTCTGTCGAGGTCCTTCCCGAGGAGTGAGCGGAGGGCGCGGGTACTGCTCGGGGGCGCTCTCGCTCGCGGTCTGCCCCAGCGCGCAGAGCCCGCCTTTTTATGGGCCGGCTGCGTGCAGTGACGTAGGCTCTGTCTGCTCGCTCTGCGCGTTCCAGAATTCTCAAACATCTCTGGAATGCTGCTTGGCGCGGGCTACTGCCAAGCGCCTCCCCTGGCTCAGTTGCACCTTCCTTTCTTTCTTTCTTTTTTTTTTTTTTTTTTGGTCCTGGATCCAAGAAAACAATCTTCCGTTTTTCCACTTTAAATAACGACTTGTATTGGGGAGGGCTCTTTTTGGCGTGATGGTGGTGATGGTGGTGGAAGGGGCGAGGGGCCGAGGTCAGAACTTTGCCTGAACTGGGAGGGTGGGAGGACCTGAGAGGGAGGAACAAAAGTCGTTTTGTTTGGTGATGCCGAGTTGACCGAGCAGCCTTGGAAGCCCTCACCCAGGAAGGCAGCTGTTTGCTTGTTTTACAATCAAGGTGAGAGTCGAGTTATCTACTGAAGCGAATGGGAAGGGGTGTGTCTCTGAGCCAGGAATCTACTTGTGGACTTCGTAGAGGCATACTCGGATCAAGCCCCAAAGCTTTGGCAAGGTGTTTATTCGCCAAGTTAAGTGTATTGCAAATTAATACCCGCAGTGACACTTATGAATGAGAAAGGGGGAAAATCAACTTCCCTCTTGTCTGGCAGGTTCCCAGGCAGAGAGGTCTTCCCCCTTCCGTACCCCATCCCCCCTTTTTGGTATGTCGTACTTGTTTGTTTTTGGAGGTTCCCACTTTAGTTCCAGCCCACTGGCTGGAAGTCCGAGAGGAAACGAACGCAGGGAGCTCTCTGGTGGCTGACTTACACTTCCTCACGGATGCGGGAGACCGGGTAAGCGCTTCCAGCCAACCTCCGCGGGCGGGAGGCGATGCACAGCTAAGCCTCCAGCCAGAAGCGCAGGGGACTACCGTGGAGTGATTTGTACTGAGATCATCACCTGTATATACTTCAAGGTCAAGCCAGATTCTAGTACCATTGTGCCCAACGGATCTCTGGAAAAAGCAGACTCCTTAAAGCTGAAAGTGTTGCGGGATTTTTAATTCCTTTCCTTGGGCCCTCTTAGAAACCTGCCATTTCAAGTGAATTGCAATGCTTTTCTCTCAAAAAGAAAAAAAGATATAAGAGATTTAGGATGTAATGATCTTTAATAAAAATTTAGCAGGTTTTAAGATCCTATTCTACCTGCAATACACTCAGTAGAAGACGCCCCTACAAAGCAATTTAATAGCATTAATATCGTTAGTGTGATTGATAAACTTTCCCTCTAAGTTTCTAAAATATCTTATGTATGTTTTGTTAAAAACCTACACAAGTAATTAGGCTAGCCTCCCTTTTAAATGTGTTTTAGAAGAAGAATTGCATGGTTCTTTTGTCCTTTTTAGTGTGTAGGGCTGTTCAGTCTTCATAATTTAGCAGTTTTGCTTTAGAAGGCCTTCAGTGATGACTTTTCTGTGAATAACTCTGACAAGCACAGTGAGAAGCTATTGCAATGAAAACACTCTCCAATGAAGAGAACCGATAGGAAAGAGTTAAGTTTCATTCATTCTAAAGTGTATTTTCATAAGTCTAAGGCTTTTACTAGAGGGCGTGGGATCTCTAAGACTTGGAGTGGGGAACTTACTTTTCAAGACAATAGATTATCAGGTTTTGTGCAAATAAAGTGAGGAAAGTCTGGGCCCTATATTGTACCCAGGCCAATCTGTCAATTATTGTTTAGAAAAATGGTTTTTCTTGTATTAGGGTTTCATTATTGTTTCCTGCTTAATGAAATGACAGGGGACAGGGTGAGTAAGGGCAGTACAGGGTGGAGGAGGTGGTAAGAGAGAATGGATGCAGAGGAGCGTTCCTGGCTTCTGTTGTGGTGTCTTTTCTATTTGACTTCATGGTTGTAAGTATTTCCAGATGGTGAATCAGACACCAGACGTAACAATATTTCCATATTTGGGTATAGCAGTAGCTTGCGTTTTTAACATTTTTCTGCCTGTTATCCAACCACAAAGCATTCTTGACAGCTTCAAATGTTGTTAAATATAGACTTAACTTCTGTTCCCAGAGCAGGAAATTCTTTGGAATTCCTTGTTTTTCACGCAATCTGTCTATCATGATTTAAAATAAAATCACAGTGGATGATCCAACTGGCCTGTGTATATACCTTGTTCCTTTATTGAAGTGTGTGTGGAAGAGGGAGTGGGGGGTCAGGCAAAGGGATTCATTTTACTGCATAGCATTCAAATACACCCCATTCCTGGAATTCCTTTAAAAATCAGATTAAAGTTTTCTAACAAGAGTGAGTGGGTTTGTTTCTGGACTTTAACTAGGGAAGCTTGGAGGATGATTTTGCACCAGGGGAGAAACGGAGAACCCTACCATCAACTGCCCATTTAAAAGCAGGCAATGTCTTGTGGGAGGGGGGTTTGGGGAGCTGTAGCAAACAGGGCCAGGAGGTGGGGGAGAGGGAGAGATTGGAGTAACCTATGTGCACAGCCTTTCTATACACTATGTCCTGGCGTGCCTGCTAGTAAACCATGGCATCAGGGGAGAGGAACGGCAGCTCTTCATGCCCTGCCCAACGACAGTCCAGAAACCTCAGACGTCCCGTCGCCTTCTCGCCTCCTCTGAGAGCTGCAGATCAGTTCACGTTGACAGATTGGAGGGGAAATGTGCAAATATTTATGGGTAAGTGTTGCTTCGGGTGCTAATTCTGCATGGCTCTTTCACTCTGTTTCCTCCCTCTCTCCCTATACGGGTGCCCCAGGAGGGAATAACGGGCTGCCTTGTTTCCTTGGGCTGCAAAGCACGGAGAAGGGACTGCTTGTCTTCTGCAGCTCCTGGCTTTGGGCTGAGCAATGGGGACGTTTCTCGCCCGCTGCTGCCAGGCAATTTTAGGTCACCCAAAGAAGGGTTCACTGTCTTGGCGGCAACTGAGAATAATAATCACCTTAAACCTGGCGACTCCGGTTTCCTAGTCCTGGAACAGTGGTTTTCAAACGTGTGTCTCCGAATCACCTGGAAGTCTGGTTAAAGACCGATTGCTGGGTCCCATCCCAAAATTTCTTATTAGTTACAGTTCTAACAAATCCCTAGGTGAGGATACTGCTGGTGGTGTGGGGAATCAAACCCTGAGAACCACTGCCTGTGATAGCTGTTTGCATGTTCGTGTGTCCTCATAGTTAGGTGAGTACCTGCACACCTAGGCTCACAACGCCACTTTGTATACCACCTTAATAAATAGAACAATTTATGGTGACTGAGAAAGTCCAGTTTTAAGGTGGTGCCCCTCGCCACCCTTTTTCTCTCCACACCTCTCCAACCTCTGAGTCCCACCCGGTGGAGTGATCGCAGGGAGAGTCAGAGGAAGCCGGGATGGCGGCGGGAACTGGGTGGCCGACGCGAGGGCATAGGGCACGGGGCCAGAGCACCGGGACGCGCTCGGCCGCCTGCTGCCCGCCGCCCCCTGCCGGCTGCCTGGCCCGCGCGCCCCAAGTCGCCGCGGTTGCCAGGACTCGAGGTTTCCGGCGGCGCGCGGCGCAGGACGTTTCCAGCCCTAGCCCATATTTGGTGAAAGTCTTTCAAGACTCCGTCATCCAACTCCGAGGGGCAGCGGCGGCGGCGGTCCTAGCAGCCGGCCCCGCAACCACCGGGCCGCCGCGTTGCTGAAAAGTACCCGCGCCCAGGCTTCAGGCCGCCGGTCCCCAGGCGGTGTGGCGACCTGGCACGCGGTCCCTAGGCACACCGCCACCGCCCATCCCCCTCTCACACCCCTGCGAAGGCCGAGGGCAGTCCCGCGCTGCGTGGGAGGCTGGCGCGAAGGGTGCCGCGACCCGATTGTGTCACTTTACCCGTCCACCCCACTGTTGACTAGTCCTCCCAGCTGGCCAGCGAATTGCGGCGCTGTGCCAGACTTAGAGGGTACGCCCAGGCGCGCGGTGCGTGTGTGTGTGTGTGTGTGTGTGTGTGTGTGTGTGTGTGTGTGTGTGTGTGTGTCAGAGGGCGGCGTTTGCTCAGACATCCAGCCCACCCGAGAGCTGGGACATGGCATTGACTCTGGAGAGAAGTCCCAAAAGGCCTTGTCCCATTATCCCTAAAAGGTAGAGATGCTAGAGCTCACTCTTGATATTTCTTAGTCTCCCACCACCCCTTCCTCTCTTTCTCATCAATAAGTTCCGGGGTTAGTAGGGGGGGGGCGGGGAGCGGGGAACCCCTGGATAAGAAGCCCTAGTTCTGCCATCCACTAGCCTTGTAGCCTTCCGTAAACCTCTCATCCTCTCGAGACCTTATATCCTTCATCAGTAAATTGGGGAAAAAGTGATAGCAAGAAGTAAAACTGGAGCAGTCCTTTTTAGGGCTGAATCTCATGCCATCCTCTCCTAATAATGACAGAAGCAAATACTTAGGAATATAGGGCTCACTCTACGTCAGCACTGTTTTGAATGTCTACTATAAATTGACTCATTTAATTCTCCAGTGCCCCATTGAGGCAGATCCTCTTGTCAACACCATTTTCTATCTAAATGAGGAAATAAAGGCACAGTAGGTAAGCGACTAGCCAAAGGGCACTCACCTACCAGGTAGCAGAATTGGATCAGGCATCTTGAATCCAACTGGCCTTGTGCTTAACCACTGTGCTATACTGCCTACTCCCCATCTCTTACTTCAGATGTTCAGGCCTGTCTCCTCTACTGGAAATTTACCTTTATTTAACTCTATCACAACTTACCCAGGTATTCCAGGATAAATGCATCACATAGAAAAATAGTTGATAAGTTCACTGAAGCTGTGCTGACCTCTGAGAATTGCCTAATGTGCTGGCTTTTGAAAGAGGAGAAGGCAAGGGGTGTGTGTTTTAACACAAAAAGTCTTAATGCAGATATATTTATACCTAGTGGACTTTTTGGCACCTTGGTAGGCTTATGGGGAAGCTATCTGGGACCTCTGAGGTCCTTCTGACACTTCACAAGCCACATTGATCAGGCAGCTCCCACTTCTAGAGTAAGGCTTGGTCTGGTGGGAACTGCGTGTACCCCTGAGATAAGGTTTTGGATGTTTCATCAGTCTGAGTGATCCTCATGGGCTGGGTATACTTTTAACCTGGTTTTTTCCAACTGTATATTACGAGTACAATTACCTAAGTATCTGAGGACAGATTATTTTTCCTCTCTGAACCCCAGATTTATTCAGAGCTCACGATATGTCATGCCACTGTGGTAGGCACTGGTGACATACAAAAGGACTTTAACATTGACCTTCCCTTTGAGGACTCTACAGTACGTTGCTGAAGTGGGTACAACGTGCTGTGGACACTTCTCTACCTGGGGAATGAAGATGGAACTAACCTGAGTCTGAAAGGATGGTCAGGAATCTGATACAGGGAAGGGCATTTGAGACAGAGGGAACCACGCCTCGACTATGCATAATGAGGGTCTACCTGGCATGGCTGGACCATAGGACTCCTTTGGTGAACTGGCAAGAGAGGTCAGCTCAGCTGGGACTTTCTGCAAATGACTTTGTCTGTGGTGGCATCAGGCCTCTGCCCTACAGGCAGTGCTATGGGCCATATGAAGCTTTGCCTTGGTTTCCTCATCTATAAGATAATGTTGGGTTGCCTCAGCTCAGGAGACATACACTGAAGGGCTCACAAGGGTCAGCCGGTAACAAAATGCCATTTCAAGGATTCGTACTAGCTGACATCTGGCCTTGGCTTTGCGGAACCATGGGGAGGGTAGAGACCAACTATGGGAGCGCTGAGTGGTTGGTAGGTGAAAATGTAGGCCCAGTGTTTGTTGTTGTCTCATTTTATAAAGAGCCACTAGAAATATGGATTTTTATGTGAAGCCTTTTAGTTTTAAACTGTTGGCGATTGATTCAAACAATGTTAAAATGCCACCTAAGTTAATTGTAGGAAAACAAAAGAAGACAATGTCTGGGCCCTGCTCATTGTGGTCTCCACACTGAATGTCTCCAGCAAACTGTCCTGCTCCAGCACGGTTACTCCCAGCCTCTCCTGAAATATCAGGAAATAGCACTCTGGGTGCCATTTGATTGTCAGGTTTAATTTAATTGGCTAGACTTCCATTTGTTTTAGAACCAGGGCAGCCAGTTGACTCAGTTGTAGGAGTTTATATTTTATCAACAGAATTTCTACTTGACTCACTCCCCAAACACTATTCAGTCTCCCTCTTTCTTTTCCCCCTAAATTTATTTCGTAAACAGCTGGCATTACCTTGGCAGCATGATAGGAAACACTTTTGTTTTTTAGGGCATCTGTATCCAGTGGGAACGATATCTGTTTATTTCTTCCACCTGGCGTCTGTCCATAGGAAGCCAGGCATTTGTAACCCCTTTACCTTATAGAACTTCTTGTTTTGTGATAACACAGAAACATTTCATTGGAATGGACCGGAAGGCACCTCTCCCACTCCACCCTGTAATCCATCTTCTAGACATGATTGAGCAATAGGAGATGTATTAATGATAAGTCACTATCAAATGGTTGGCACCAGACTCAAGGGATTAGGAATTAACCTCCACATCTTGTGTTTTATTTCCAAAGATACCTGTCTCTCTTCATTGCCCATTTAAAACCCCACATACCACATTTAGAATTTAGAAAGGATTTGATTTGCCCAGTATGTGAGCACTCAGGTAGATCCTACAGAGAGATGGAAGCCATTTATTTGTGCTAGCTTTTTGCAGTTCCAAAAATTAAGTGTAAAGGAGGATTCTGGCAGTTGGGTTGATAATATAAAATAAGACATAAGACATGTTTAGTGCTCAGCAGGATGCCTGGTATATAGTAAGTGCTTAATAAATTGCAATTACCTACTGCTAAGCACCACCCTTACCTTCACTTTTACTACAATTAACATAGAATGACCTAGCCTTATTCTCTAGAGAATATTTTGTATTCTTTAGACTAGATGAACTCTAGTTAGAAATTTTTTGATAAATGGCATATATTGGGTTGTCGGAAAAGTCATGACGTATTTTTTTCTATGTTTTTCATTGTAAAAATGTGCCATGACTTTTCCGACAACCCAATAGACGATGTGGTTTAAAAGATTCATCCAGACAACATTCTGACTCGCACTGGGGCCCCAGGGACCATCTAAGAAAGCACTGAAATGGCTTTTCTTGTCATAGAATTGCCTACAGGCAGTGGGGAGCCATGAGATATTTTGTCTTGGTTTCCACATCTATAAGATAATGGGGTTGCCCTAGCTCAGGGGTCATGTACTTAAGTGCCATGTATAAAATCAGCCATGTATAAAATGCCATGCCTGAAGATTAATGCCAGCTGACACTTGGCCTCGGCATTGGGAAGCCGTCGGGATAATTTTATCTATGGGGTCTGGGTTTTGCCTACCAGAGACTAGGCAGTTAGTATATATAGATGAGTTAGTGACCTCATCTAATGTTTATAAACATTAGATATATAAATGCAACCCTGTAGGGTATTTTTATTTAAACAACAAGAAAACAGGCTTAGCTTGAGTCAGTAACAGGTGCAAGGACACAGAGCTGTTAAGGTAAAGCCGAGTGTCCGTCTCTACAGGCCATTCTTTTGAAGGAGAACTTGGTAGTACCCTCCGTAAAATCTGCCTTAAAGTTTAGGAACTGGCCCTCAACTTCTTGACTTCACCTTAACAACTGACTGTGGGTGTCACTTAAATATATGT